AAATAAAATTTTTTATTAATATAGAGTACAAGGGGTACTCTAACCCATATTTACAATACTCCCATCATCGTTATCAAAATTCCACTCTCCTTTTACAAAATAAGAAACAAAATTAAGCTTCACATAGAGCTGGAAATTGGCACCAATCACTGTAATTGAACATAGCAGATTTAGACTTCCCTTTTATCCAACTGAAGGTCTTTGTTAACACTAACTCAAAGATAGTATTTTCATTCCAAGTAAGGTTGTTAAACACTATACCATTACGAAAATACCAAATGGCCCATGCTGTTGTAACAACAGAAAGCACCCAACAACTTTGAGATTTTATGCTAAGCTTAAGTGAACAAAGTTGCAAAAGGAGGAGGGAGGTGTTACCAACGGGAGAAAAAGGAGTTCCCCACCAGCAGCATAATCGAGTCCAGATGTTTTGGCAAAATCGGCACAATGCAAAGATGTGGTTAATATCTTCCACACTATCACCACAAAAAACACATTTTGAGTTGGAAGAAAGGTCAATACCACGATTGAGGAGGTTGTCTTTAGTGGGTAGTCTATTCAAGAAGAGGCGCCATGCAAAAACACTAATTTTTGATGGCATAAACTGATTCCAAATCACCTTGCAACATTTCTCCTCAAGGCACGGAGGGAAATCATCAAGAAATTTGCAAGCTTGCTTGGAGGAATAACCTGTTGAGCAATGCTTCCAAATGAACTTGTCAAGTCTTCCATCTGATAAATTAAGATTTCGGAGAGAATCTTCAAGCCTCTCAAGCTCATCCAATTCTCTACCGAAGGGAGGTCTGCGCCACTGAAAAGCCCACCCATCTACATTACCCAGCTTCAATTCAGCAACTAGAGCATCCTTGCTTAATGTAAGGCAAAAAAGGCGAGGGTAAGAAAACATCAACGGAGAGTTGCCCATCCAAGCATCCTTCCAAAATCTAGTGTTTGAGCCATCACCAAGCTTACGGATAAAACCATCATCAAAACACCCAAAAGCTCTATCACAATCCTTGCCAATAGATAAGATATCCTTCCAAAAGGGAGAGAGGCTTGGAGAGGCAATGTTAGAAATAGAAGTAGAAGAGACTCCATCATAATATTTTCTAACAATAATTTTTTTCCATAATTTCACATTTCCTTCAGCATCATAAAAATTATTCCACCATTTTCCTAGTAAAGCAGAATTCCTAATAGAAAGGTTTGGGATGCCAAGCCCTCCCTTTGATTTCGCAAGGCAAACTTTCCCCCAATTAACCCAAGCAATCTTATTATAGCCGTTTGAACTCCCCCACAAAAAGTTTTTTTGTATTTTCTCTAACTCACTAACAACACCTTTAGGGACCTTAAAAATAGAAAAGTAAAAAAGAGGGAGAGCCGAAAGTACCGACGTGAGGAGTGTGATGCGTCCTCCAAATGATAAGAGCTTTCCCTTCCAGGTTGCCAACTTAGACTGGAACTTCTC